AAATAATACGGAAATGCAAATTAACTTTAATAAACATGCTTTATTTACAATGTCGATTTAGCTCGCTGTTTTTCTTTAAGTAGCCGATCAAGAATGTCCTGATTTGTAGTCGTAGAGTATATTTGATGAGTCGGGGTGCTTGGCCTATCATCCCTGAGGCTAATTACATCATTACTAGACCTTGCACCTATTCCTATTGACTCTGAAGATTGTGACCTTGAGGCGATTGGATTACCAGTATCGATCATCCCCGCATTTCCTTCATCTGTGATCTTGACCTGCTCATGCTATAAGAAACAGAAAATTTTTTGAGAAATTCATTTGAACTAGCCATTATCATCGTAAGGTTGCATTATATATACCTTCTTTTTAAGAGATAACTGTTTTTTCCGTTTGGCTGGAGAAGTTTTGGGAGGTTGAAAATCATCAACGAACTAAATACAAAATAAGGAGTTAAATTACTTTTATCAGGCTGCCACACTTTATCAATTCTCGCCAGAAAATCACGCATCTGCACCTACTTTAAAACGCGGTTTTTTTCGTATCTCTGAATTTAACTCAGAAACAAGTTCGAAATTTTGTTGCTGACGAGAGACATGAACCAAATCCAACCCGTCTATTTGTAATTTACGCTTGACAATAATCTTGAGAGATAACAAATGAGCGTGAATATGTATTTGACACCATTAACATTCCTATTCAAAATGTATGATATTCACCTTTTTGTTTTCGAACTCATTTTCTAGATCTCTCTCTTGTTCGACAATTTTCCAAAATTTTTGCGTTTCAGGTTCCTTCTAAAACAGCCAAGAGGTTAGTAATTTTCAATATGACGAGATTTGAACTGTTGTCACAGAGGAACGCGCAAGGAACGCGCAAGGAACGCGTAAGGAACGCGTAAAAACGCGCAAAAAACACGCAAGGAACGGCACCCGACGTGCACCCGACGTGCACCCCACGTGCACCCCAGCAACAGACGAACGAAACGCGAGGAACGGCACCCACCGCGAGAAGGAATCAAAGAGGAACGGAACCCCTATAATACCCGCTGTTGGTTGCGAAACGCTGCCTTTGACAGTTCAGAAAACTACAGAAGTTGACAAACCTGTCGCAAAAGAAGAGTTACAAAATCATAATGTTCATCATAATGTCCGATTTGCAAACCTTGTTTCTCTTTTACATCCAGAAAGTTCTTTAAATAAGCTAAATATCGCTTCCTTATTATTGAATTTAGGTTCTCAATTGAATTTTGATCAGATATGAAGTAAGGTTTCAAAGCATTTAAAAAACCATGATATGACCACTCCAAAACGGGTGTATTATCGAAGTATGAGTTGATCTCTAGAACTAAAGACATTTGTTTTGGAAAGAGTAAAGTAAAACTCAAGTAAAAAGCAGGGCTTAAAATAGTACTGTAAATTCCGGCAAAATCCGGAATTTTAAAGAATCCCCCGATAAAAAATTTGTGTTCCGGACACCTGGTAAAATTTTTGCCGGCAGAATTAATATTTTATGATTGCAAAAATATTTTCTAACTCTGGCCAAATTTATAGTGCTGCCTAAATTAATTTAACCGGGTTCTCGAGTTCTCGGCAAATTGAAAAAAATAATAAACACGTGATATTAGCCAATCAATTTTTATGTATTTTTTTTTATTATATCGCTTCGGACAATAAAATCTGTTTTTTTGTATAATGCTATAATGCCCAAATCAAAATTAAATGAACATATTTGTTGGTTAATAATTGAAAGGACTCTGAAAGAGCTTTAAAGTAGAGCAATTGCAAGACAACATTAGTAAATCTACAGTTTCTAGATGTATAGAGAATTTATCATCATCATTAGGACGAATAAGAATACTTAAATTGATATAAAATATTTAGAAAATCTTTTGAAAGAGAGAGTAGACTGATACAATCTGAAATGAAATTATGATTAGGATGTCATATTAGCTATTATACTATTTGAAAAGTAATACATCACCTTGATTATATCCATAAATAGTTAAAGAATTTTTCTAAATATTTTTATATTGTTATAATCAATTTATTTATCAACCTTATTTATTATATTTAGTTGTCTAAACTAATAATATAACGTAATAAAAATAATAGATTAAATTTTATAGTTCATATATCACAATATTTTTCAATACAACTTGATGAGTCTATATATGATAGAAGAATACTTTCTTAATATTATAGTGGAATTTTAAAGAAAAATGTGTATGTAAACACACATTTTTTATTCATAAGAAATGATATACTATAGAAAGAGCATTATATCTTAATGATTTTTTAGCATATGCAATCAAAGAAGGTCTTATAAATAGTCTTATATATTTTAGTATATATTATTATTTTCATAAATATTTTTAATTTTAATATTTATTATTATAAATTAATTTTTTTTTATCAAAGCTTTCTAAGATAAATACATATACAGATCCTTATAGTATTTTGGTATTAAATAATGTTTCTATATATAAAGGATAATATTTACTTGATATTTGTAATGCAAAAGGAGTTCAGATTGAATTTTTGTCATTATATTTATCAAATTTAAATCTAATATATAAGAAATTTATAATAAAAAGAACAAATCAATTGTAGTTTTTTTTATATCAATCCATAAATTAATATGTTATTCAAAAAAAAACTTCTTCAATTATTTGTTCAGATAAAAAAACTTTTTCATCTTCATTAATTGAAGATTTTATAACAAATCTTTTATTTTGTAAGGGTTAATTAGAAATATAAAATTAATAAGATCAAAAAATTTCATATATTTTATTATCTGAATATTAGATTTGTATTGTATTTTTTTAAAATAAATAATAATTAAGTTAGGCTTTATTTTTTTTAATTATGTAATTGACATATTGAAATTGTAGTGAAATAATAAAAGTAAATAAAGCTGGTTATTTATTTTATAAAAGGTAATTTAAATTTTTTTTAGTTTTTTTTTTTTTATATAATAATGATAAATAAATTAAAAATACAATATTAAAAATATTACTATTAATATATATATTATTATAAACTTTTAAAGACTTTTTAGAATTTAAATAATAATAATTAATTTTATCAAAAATCTTAATTAAAGATGGATAAGTTGCATCTATTCCTTTAATTTTACAATTTAATAATAATAAAAATTTATTATTTAATTATAATATTTATAATTAAAAATGCTTTTTATTATTGCTTTTATCTAAATTATAATTATTTCATTATTTAATTTAGAGTGACATCTATTATTAACAATCAAATAACCTTGAATATAATATTCACATTTAGAAAGTATTTGATATTTTCAAATTAAAAATATATCATACATAATTTTTTTTGATAGAGATTTTTCTTTTAATTTTTTTTGCAAAATATACACATAATTAAATATATTTTCTTTTTTTGCATTTTACAATAAATGCTATATTATTACTATTAAATTTTAAAACAAAGTATCTGTCTTAATATTAGAAGATTTTTATAATATATAAGACTAAGTTCTATTTTTTTCCATTCTGCTAGTAATTTACAAAACAAATTTCTTCTTTTATTTGATCAAATATATTTAAATCATCTAAGCAATAAAAAATATTAATTGCTTTATCAAGTTTTTATGTAATTATTTATTAAAACAAACTAATGTAATATATTTTAAATTAAAATTTAATTTTAAGTTTATAAAAATAATTAATAATAACATTAAGAGAGTGATACATATCACGTTATTATAGGTTATTATAATCCTTCTTCTCTCCTATAAGACTTATCACATGATTAACAAATGGCCAATCACTTTTAAGTATTATTATATTATTTAAAATTAAATTAAAATAAAAAATTGTTTATTGATATTATTAATAGATTCTTTTAATGTTATCTTTTAATATTATCTTAAAATAATTTAATAAAAATGTAATAAAAGTTAGTAATAAAAAATGCACTTTTTGTAACTATTTATATATGATCTGTAACAGTTATATTCTATTATATCTATAAAATTGCATTTACATAATCATGTTTATATAATTATATTTATATAATCATTTTAATTTCTTTGTTCAAAACCTTAATATGTGAGCTTTTCTAATTACTCTAAAATATAGCAAATCTTATATTTATAAGACCCTTACAAATCAACATCAAAGATTCTGCAATATTTTTAGATATTATTATATAATGAATGCAAAAAATCCTATATGAGTTGATTGCTAGAAAAATCAGGTTTTGGGAATTTTTTAGCAAAATTAAGATTTTTATTACATTTTAGTTTTTGATGTTATTAGATTAAAATGTATTAAGCTCTTAATTTTAGTCAAAAATTTCTCAGAATCTGATTTTCCTAAAAATACTTTTATATATTTAAAATTTAATTTATACACAGAATATATTGATATATAAAAAGAGATTTAATATAAATCTTAGGAAGAAATTAAAAATAAAATTGGAGAATATTTAGTAACTCTAATTCTAATATAAGATTTTTGCAGGTTAACCATACACAACCCAGCCTATCTTAAAGCTCAAAGTCTATTCAAACTAATCAACTTCTTCAAAGAATAATTAAGGAGAATATTGTAGCTAATATTGCTTTGTCTCCTAATGTTACTGCATAAAAAAAGTTATAGAAACTATCAATACAACTAATATGAAGTTTGTTGAACTTTAATAAATTTACAATTCTACTACTAATTTGAAGATTCAGAATAATATAATAAAATTTATGATAACATTCAAGCAAGTTTTACATGATGAGAATGATAAGGTTAGGAAATTAAAGTATTATGCAAAATATCAATAAAAATACAGAACAAAAAAACAAAACTTTTGCAAGAGTATCAAGAAGTAATAAAATATGATTTATCTGATTATCTATTTTTTTTAATTCAGTATCCTGATTTATATGAGTATATATATGAAAGTATTGAATTTAAAGCTGCAGACAAAAAAAAAAAAGAAGAAAAAAGATTATTAAAGTTAGAACTATTTGATGTCTTCAGGAAACTTTTAATTCAAAATATAATAAATATCTTTTTCACACTACTCTTAATAATTATTTGTTACTATTTTAATCAAATATTATAGCAGCAAAGACTTATCACCACCTAGCTATTATTACAAATACATCTATTTCACAAATGAAAGAAATGAGCATATTAATAAATATTATTATTTTATGTCTGTAAAAAGAGTAAAATAATTTGCAATCTTAATTTTAACCCATTTTGTTATTATCTTCTAAGATGACAAAGTTAAGATTCCTCTTGATATTCTTATAATCAGAAGAATGTTTTAACTATACAAAGTTTTCAAGAGCCAATTACTCTACCTGATTACAATTTTCCAATTAGTATGCAATAAAAACTTATTCTATCAGTTTACTTACTGATTAATCAAGTAATATGAATAATACTTTCTATAATGATCAACTTTTAATTTTTATATGTCTACAATATCAAGTTGGTATAAGCTCAACTATTCATACAAGTGATTTAAATTCACTAATTCAAAAAAGTCATTTTGATAGAATATTAAAAATTAATGATTAGATTAAACTTATTTGGATCCTTTAGTCAATAAAAATCTAAATGAAAATCTATGTTATATGAAAATCATTCTTTAATATTGTAAAAAGTTTTGCATCTTTAATCTTGATTATCTTTTTATTTGAATATATGCATTCAATCAGTCAGTATTTAATCCTATAAAGTATAGTATAGCAATACTCTCTCAAAAACTAGCTAATATAATATTACTAATTAATAAATACAATTTATACCTCAATTCTTAAGACCAAATAGTCGATTTGAAGCTTATAATGAAAAACTTTCATTATGTTAATGAAGCTTTATATGTATATAATTAATGTGATTATAATTTTAATATTATATTATTATAAATATTAATTTTTATTTTTAAGTTTTAAAATTGTAAAAAAAATCAAGCATTATTAACTGATGATCTTAATTTCTACTGTGATTTTTAAGATAAATTGTTTGATGAATTTTGTAATATAAAAATGAAAATTCAATACTTAAAAAATAATCAAAAAGAATTAAATATACATATTACAAAATTTATAATTATAAAATCATCATTCTTATCTAATAATAATAATATTTTGATTGAAATATTTCAAAAAAAACCTAAGCTTGCTAGTATTCATCAACTTTGGTAGGTGATAAATAATAAACGATATATAAATATATATATTTATTTTTATTGATATTGATTAGTATTAATTATTTTATTATTTATTACAGCCAATTATAAAAGAAGGTATGCAAATACTATTTTATAAATATAAGCATACTTCTGATAAATTTGTTAAAGCAATATTAAAACAAGC